AATAAGTAAATAACAAATTAATATTGATCTAGATTCAATATATTTCTACAATGCATTTCAGTTCAGGAAATATCGAAATGCATTTTAATATTGAATTTGGATTCGTATAGGAGAAGAAGAAGGAGGAGGAGGAGGAGGACCTGTACCGCTTGTACAATTCGATTTGTCTTCCTCCCTCCAATATTCTTGAATCTTGACTTCGGTCTGTGAGARGTCTTCTTGAAATCTTGAGTTTGGTTGAACTGAAAAGGGGGAATGGCAGTTTTGGTTGATGGAAACCTACATTTTTGGGGGTTTTCACTTTTCTTTTAATTTTTTCCAAAATTACCCATRATGAAATCAAGTTATCCCCACCCAAAACCCTTTTAACTTAAGGCTACTGCCTCATGTAAATTGAGGCGAAATGCCGAAGGCCTACGCTTCACTTAAACTGAGGCTTATGCCCCTTGATCTGAGACTGAGGCTACTGAGGCCAGGCGAAATTTGGTGGCTGCCTCGCCTTGAGGGGTGTCTTTCGCCTCACTTCAGCCACCTTTTAAAACCATGCATAAAACCAAGAGGATTTCAAATAAATGGGATTAAAATAGAATATATGTAAGCAAACCCATGGTACACCTCAGATTAGAGACCAAGATTTAACTAAATGGGACATATTCTATTATCTTGGTTTGGTAATCTATAACAAGAGGAGACACTGAGGAGGATGCTGCTGATAGAATTAGAACACAATGGACAAATTGGAGAGGTGCATCTAGAGTCTTATGTGATGGGAGAACATCACTACACCACTTAGGCTAAAAGTTGTATGGAGCTAGAGCAGAATGTTGGGCAGTCAAGAAACATGTTGAAAGAAGTGGGTGTGGCATCTGGTATGGGGGTGGGGGTGCTGAGAAACGAGGCTGGAGAGATTGTACTTCTCTATTCAGGCCCCTTGGGATTTGGGGATTCAGTCAGAGCAGAATTGTTAGCAGCCCTACAGGGAGTGCAGTTTGCAAATCAACTAGGTGTAGGATAGCTTATTATTGAAGGGGATTCCAAGGTGGTGGTGGGGTGGTTGAAGAACCCTGAGGATACTATGTGGTGCTATAGGAATGAAGTCAAAAAATTCAAGTGGCTGACAAGGAATATGTCTGTTATTATACAATGGGTGGGGAGATCAGCAAATGCTTTGGCTAATGGATTAGCTAAGCAAGGGGCAAATAGGGAAGTTTTGTTTTGGGCTCAGCTGTAATGGTTATTTTTTCTCTGTAGTTTCCTTGAAATCAGATGAGAGAGGCTGCAGCTCGCTTCTCTCCATGGGCTGTTGTATGAGTTCAAGTAATAAAGTTATTTATCCATAAAAAAAGTGGGTGTGGTAGAAATGCAAATGTTGAGATGAATGAGCGGGAAACTAGAAAGGATGGGTCAGAAATGAACTTATTTGAAGGAATCTAGGAGTACCTCCAAGCCTCTGATAGATGATAAAACGAGGGAAAGTAGACCAAGATGGTTTTGTCATGTGTAGAGAAGACAATCTACAAGACCAGTAAGAGAAGAGATTTGTTACAAGCAGTGATTTAAAAGGTGCGCCTAGTGCACAGGCAAGGCGCATTTTAGGGTATGTGCCTTGCCTGGGTCCTAGGCACAGCCCTTTCAAAAGGCGCACGCCTGAGCCTTGCGCCTCAGCCCAGGCATGCGCCTTTTGAAAATTTCACACCTCTGAGAACCCTTATTTGCTAATGTTTATTCATTCATCATAATAAAATATCTTCTTAAAAAGCAATTAAAATTATAAAATCATTATTTTTTGTTTGAGAACTAAGAATTTAAGACTTGTTTGGGCTTGCCTTGAGGGGTGTGGCACAAAGGCGGCTCGTAGAATTAGGAATGTAATATGTTTTACATTACATTAGCTACTTGAAGTATTGCAATTGAGGAAAAAAAGAGATTGTGGGTTTTACATGCTTGAAAATGCTTTATATGTTTGGTTTTATTTTTAAATTTTCATTTGAACACGCTACATGTTATGCTTATGTATTTTAATTTTAGATAATAGGTTTTTTAAAACATTTGTTTTAAAATTTAAATTATATTTTTTATTAATGTTATGTTTAATATTTTTTTTTTTGCATTTTTTTGAATTTCCTTTTTTTTTTTATTTTTTAGCCTTTTTTTGCACTTTTCCACCTTGCTTCAAAATGATGTGCGCCTTAGGCGCAAATTGGCCCCTGTGCCTTTTTTGTGCCTTGCACTTTTAAGACACTGGTTACAAGTTGAGGGGGCTAGAAGAGGTTGGGGCAGACCAAAAAAGGACATGAGTTGATGTAGTAGGAAATGATTTAAGGGCTCATAGTTTGACAATGGATACGACACTTTTTTTCCCTGTCTATTCTTTTTCTTTGTTCTTTTTTTTTTGATGTATAGCTTGGGCCATTGGACCATTGAACCTTTTATTTTAGTAGAATTTTACTGTTATTGGTAAGAAATGTTAATGACAAACATTATAATATAATTTTTTTAATAATTATCTCATAGACCTTGAATTGAAATGGCCTTAACAGTTGATTTCTTTTTTCATTTTTTTTGCTGGAGAACTATGTATCTAGTACCATTTTAATCATCAGATTTTTGTAAGTTTTGACAATGGATATGGCACTAAACAGAAGAGCTTGGTGATAGAAGATTCATGTAGCCAACTCCATGTAGTTGGGACAAGGCTTAGATGATGATGATATTTAAAAAGTATTTTTTTTTTCTGATCATATGATCCGTGGGTCAGGTTTGCTGTAAAAAAGAAAATCAAGGTATAATTTGACACAATGATCATTGGGAACATGAATAGCATTGAGATGCTCTTAGGTCTGGTTCTACACATATATTTAGTTTGGAGAAGGTTTATAAGCTATTTTGCAATTCCTTTATCACAAATTATTTCTTGATATGGTTGAGTTCATTTATGGCAATATCTTTTACATAATTGACAGCTCCACTTGATGTGGGAACAATTGCTTTGAACATCGTATCGTGTACAATTCTCATTGTTTTTCCATACATCTCTCTTTCTCTTTTTGTCCTTGATAAGGGTTATGACCTTGCTGATTCCATTTGAAAAAAAAGGTATATTGATGATTGCTGCACAAGCTTTTCTTTTTAATATACCGATCAGAAAAGCTATTCTTTTTGATGTTAGAAATTTTTCCAAATGATTTGGATGTTTTAGATGATGGAAGATAACCTCATCTGGTTAATGTTGCTCAACGATCTGAGCATGGGCATTCATATTGTTATTGAAAACTTTCTGTTATAAATGATAATAAGAGAGACATAGGAATTCCCATTTTAAGTTGTTCAAATGGGAGGTAAATTCTAAATGGTCATTAGTTGTTCACAAGTCTCAGTGTGATACAAAAATGAGATATTTCATGAACTATTAAAAGGTTATCCTATTGACTTTTCAACAAGCCCAAGATATGGATCTTTGACCAGAGTCTCTCTATAGGGGGTAGTCTATGACTCAGATTTTTTTCACCTTAGGTTTTACATTGATTATGTGGTCTTAAGTTTGGTATTAGTATTTTATTTTCTCATAAATAAATATTACCAGAACATTTTGTAAGGAAGTTTTTCTTTTTCTTTTTTTTTTGATTGGAGATGATAACTTCATTAAAACATTTCAAACTATGTCAAATTACAACTGTCAACCCCTATTTATGAAGTTGACCCAATTTACATACTCGTTACAACACTGCCCAAAACATGTTCTCCTTACAGTCCATTGTTTTGCTAAGGTATCCACTAGCCCGTTAGCTAACCTTCTTGTCCACTTGAAGCACACACCAATCTCCCTCATTATATTGATGATTTCCCTTATCATATGTCTATATTTCCATGCTCCCAGGCAACCTGACTGCATCCACCCCATTAACAGCTTAGAGTCCCCTTCAATCTCCATTTGATGCAACCCCAATTGTTTGGTGTATCTTACGCCTTGAAGTAAAGCCATCACCTTGGCTCTTAATGAATCTCCTCCTCTTGGCCCCGAAAACATGGCAATAATTCTGCTCACCCCATCTCTAAATACTCCCCCTATACCCGATGAGCCTGGATTAGAGTTGCCATCAAAGTTCAACTTTGTGCTTTGGAAAGTTGGTGGGGACCACAGTTCCTGTACCACAGGCTTTAGGGATGTAGTACCTGCCACCTCACCCCATCTTCTGTAGGTGTCATCAGTTGAGAAGTCCTTAAACAGCTCACTTGTTTTCAATCAATGCATAACCTTAGTAGTTATTCCTTCTACAATTTTCTCCTTGGACCTTTTAGTATTCTTAAAGATCCTATTATTTCCTTCTTCACATACTGACCAAAGAACAGCTGTTCTTGTAGCTCTCCACATGATTCTTTCATGCTTCTTTGTCTGCTTGTAAAAGTTTGGGTCAAAAAGGCTTACCACATCCAGGGGAGGGGTCCACCTGGAACCAAAGAGAGAAGAGAAGCAAGACCAAATAAAGGACAAGATATTAATAGGTGTGTTATTGTCTCAGCAGAACCCAAGCAGAGGAAGTTTTTCTTATTGTCGAGTCAAAGTTTTGCTTTGGCTGGTGCAGTGTTTGCTATGTTTGTGCTTTCTCATGTTTCTCTTTCTTGGTTTCTTCTTTGTTGTAGGCGGTTAGATGAAGTAGTTGTTGGGCCTGGGGGTGTAATTTTAACACTTGCTTTAGCTTGTATTCAGCTTAAAAACAATTGCAGGGATACTGCTTTCCATTGATTTTGATTGCTTTAGTTCCCCTCAAATTATTTAATCTTATTAGCACAGTAACCAGAGTATAATAATCAAATTATTTACTCTTATTACGTGCTTGCAGTTGGTGGCCCCTTCTGAGATTTTGATTTGGCCTCGTTTCATCAGGGCATGACAATTATTTCTTCCATTCTTTCTACATTGTCAATGAAATTCTTTAAGTTATTGATAGAAGAGGGAAGTCAAAATTATTGCCAATTCTGACAAATCAGTGTCCTTGCAGTGCCACAATGGGCATACACTATGTTCCACCTGTAAAACGAGGGTACACAATCGATGCCCTACTTGCAGACAGGAGCTAGGAGATATAAGGTGTCTAGCCTTGGAGAAGGTGGCAGAGTCACTTGAACTTCCCTGCAAATATTGTTCCTTGGGCTGCCCAGAGATCTTCCCTTACTACAGCAAGCTCAAGCATGAGGCACAGTGTAACTTCCGGCCATACAACTGCCCATATGCCGGATCAGAGTGTTCTGTTGTTGGAGATATCCCTTTTCTAGTGGCCCATCTGAGGGATGACCACAAGGTTGACATGCACACTGGATGCACATTCAACCATCGCTACGTCAAATCTAATCCCCGTGAAGTTGAAAATGCCACCTGGATGCTTACAGTGAGTATAGTTCTCTTGTTACACTTTGGTTGGGTTTTAAGGATTGCAATAAAAGAACAAGTGATAAACGTAGTTTAATATGAATATCTCAAACTTTTATCGATTTTTTATATATATAAAAAAACTTTTATCCATTTTTTAGGGTGCCATATACTGTGCATCAACTGTGAACCATTGATGGGAACTATGATGAAATTATTCTAGTTAGATGATTAAGATTTTTCTACTAAATCAACCCTTGAAAGACACTGCTTTGATGTCCTATTGGTGGCTATGTTGCTCTTTTTGTCAGGTCTTTAACTGTTTTGGTCAGTACTTCTGTCTGCATTTTGAAGCCTTCCAGCTTGGCATGGCTCCAGTTTACATGGCATTCCTTCGTTTCATGGGTGATGAGACTGAAGCTCGTAACTATAGCTATAGCCTGGAGGTGGGGGCAAATGGACGTAAACTCATATGGGAGGGTACACCACGGAGCATCCGGGATAGCCACCGGAAAGTCAGGGATAGCCATGATGGCCTAATTATCCAGCGTAACATGGCACTTTTCTTCTCTGGTGGGGACAGGAAGGAGCTAAAATTAAGGGTTACAGGGAGGATATGGAAGGAACAACAGAACTCAGATGCTGGGGTGTGCATACCCAATTTGTGTAGCTGAAGCGCATGCGTTCCACAATGTCTTGGTTGCCTGTGTTTGAGATACTCTTTTGTCGTCTGTATCGTGCTGTACGATTGCCAACTTGTTTTCCCGTAAAAATTATTACAGAAAGATGTTGGGTAGTCTGGAAGATGTACGGTCACCGGAGATTTGAGGTTCTACAGAATGGTTAATAAGCATCTTTTCTTTTCTTACCCTTGTTATCTAGGCTTTGTTTGTGGCTTTTTGTGTAACTTGTATAGTTGTACTATGGCCATGATCTTAATCACAGGATAGAGGCAGAGGCATTTTTATAAAGAGGCTTGCATCGTGTGTGGTGAATGGTGATCATAGTGTTTCCCAAGTTACTCCAACCCCATTTGATTATCACTTATTGGTTATAAGAAAGACCCCCCCACCCCCCCACACCAAAAGAACTCAACAATCAATATCTTTACCTATAGAAAAGGATTAGCTTAAATTCTGACCAGAAAGAACATGGTCATGGCCAGAATTTAAATCATATGAAGGAATCTAGGAATAGCTCCAAATGGTTGATAAAAAAAAAAAAAAGATTGAGATGGTTTGGTCACATGAATGAAAGATCATGTAAAATATTCATCAGAAATAATTTACTACAGGTTGAAGAGATTAAAAGAACCAGGGGCAGAGGGCAGACTAAATGGATTTGGGTGATAGTAAATGATGGATAGGGCATTGAACAGAGTGGAATGACGAAATAGGATTCATACAGCTGATCCATAGTTGGGACAAGATTTAGATGATGGTGAAAAAGATGAACGAACCCCCGGAAAACCTCAACAATCCAAGGAGTAGACCCATGTGCAACGTAGTGTCTTCTTCACAGAATTTTGTGGTCAGCAGATTCTGGTCCTGGACTTGTATTAGACCCAACTTTTCGACAATGCCAAAACCGGGAGAAGAGAGACAATAGAAGAATTGAGATGAGAAATTGGTGGAACGGTTGATAGGTAAAAACAGCGAAGAGAAAGAGCTGAAGTATGGGGAAAGCAAAGTCCTTTGATTATAATATTATATCTGATTAGTAAGTTTTCTATGCTATGATTTTATGCATATTTGGATTAATGTACTATTGTGCTGATTCTGATAGAAATAGAATATACGGTCAACAACGAAAGCTATTCGTATGTGCAGTTTGTGCTGTTCATGTGTGCACTTTTATTCTCAATGTGCATATATGTGTTGATTCCATATAATAATAGTTTCTTCAAGAGTCACCAAGGTAAGAGGCATTAATTGTTCAACTTCCATTCATGGTTGGTCTATCACTACTAATATCTAAATATGTGGACACGGTTATAAAAACGCCAAGGCAAAACTAGGCATGAGGAGAGCCTAGCCAACGCTTTTTTTTTTCTTTTTCAAACTAAATACTAGGGTAATTCCTTGGGTCTTTTTAATAATGAATAATCATTTTTAACTAATAATTACTAATAATCAAAGAGATTTTATATTAAAATATTGAAAACCAACATATTCATAAGAATAAGAATTATAAAAAGCTTAAGAAAATATAGGGCCAGATCCCTTTCTTTCATCCAAGGAAAAATTAAAAAGGAAAGAGGTGGAAGAAGAATAAAAGTAAAATTGTCATATCAAAGAAAAATGAAAAACTTAAAAATTAAAGAAGAGGTGGAGCCCTTATTTCTTTTTTCAAAAATAGAACCCAAAGGTAAATGAAAAGAGGAATAAGACATGCCTAGGTTACCATCTAAGCCTTATCCCCACCATATAGGTTGGCTACATGAATATTGTTTCACCATTTTTTTTTTGTTTAATGCCAAGTTGCTCTAATGTATCATAAAATCAAGATTCTAAATATCAATGGGTGTATCAACCTTTATCTTTAGTAGCTTTTTACCTCTTTTTTCAAACTGGTTTAGGGGGGTTGGTTGTATGCCTATCTTTCCCTAGAATGGGTAAGGCCTCAAAAACAATCACTGTTATCAGAGGGTCACCGATATTGTATGTATCAGTCGATATGCCCTGATATGTTGGGAAATTTTAATCCTTGGATAAAATCTTAAAGTTCTTCCTTGTTGGTTTAAGTTTTAAAGTTATCAAGAATTAATGCAATGTAGCATCCATGACTTGTGTGCTGGTTGAACCCTAATAAAATAATAAAAATACAAAAATGGTATATAAATTATAGAACCATTGCACACTACAAAATGAATAATAATATGATAACTTCTATAAAACATTTTCTTAAGAGACTACTAAAACAATGATATGAAGTGGGAAAAAAGAGTCCATCTATAATGATGATCAATCAACTCGTATCATACAAGCAAAAAATCTATCATGTTGGAAAGACATGATACCAAAAAGGATTTGACCAGTCACCTCCTGGGAATTTTGATGAAAATCCTATTAATTGATTACCATTTTTATGATGCTAATTGATTGGTTATAAGTTTGTTTGGTATCATACCTTTCTGGCATCATAGTCAAACCCTATATCTTTAATTAAATTTTACTTCAATTTATTATGTGAAATACAAATGAACTTCGTATAATAAGTTTTATGATTTAATGCTTTGAGCTTATTATCATTTTTCTTCATGTTCACAAATATGGAGATGTAATTTGATCTCCTTCAACCTTGTTTGCATCTCAATAAATAATTTACCTAGGTAAATGCACTTATCCAAAAAAACATTTTTTGGAAAACACTTATCCGGATAAGAGTACTTACCAATGTTATTTTTATTCCCTAAGTAAAGATATATAATGACCAATTTATAAAAAAAAATGACATTATTGAAGGAACAATATTATCCCATCACTTATTAGTGATTTTCAACGTGCATAGATAAGTAATTTACCTAAGGCTCCGTTTGGTTTGTGGGGTGGAGATGAGAAAAAGGGAATATTCCAAACGTATTCCTTTTTCTTTCATTTGTTTTGAGGGAAATAGAGGGATGGGATGCCAAAAATYTGGGATGTCAGATCTCAAAATCGTGGATTTTGGGTTGCACCAAAACTGTGCGACCTCGATGGAAAAATTTGACAAACCACTCTTACCATCAACGATGAACAGAGGAGGGAACCAACGACGACAAGTAGAGGAGGGAGAGAACCAGTGCCTTCCTCGTTACCATCGGTGATCTGCTATCTCCCCTTCCCCATTCGAACCCAAAGCAGAGCAGTGACAACGACACCCCTTCTCAGCCACTCCCTTCCTCCCTATCTCCTCTCTTCTTCTCTTTCTTCTTCTTCTTCTTCTTCTTCTTCTTCTTCTGTCTTTTGTTTTTCACAAAAAAAAGCACTATTCATCGTCTTCTCGACAACGAACACAGAAAATACTAGCGGCAGTGACTAGGATAACTTAGCCCCTAATATCTCTCTGCTCATTGTCTTCACTTTTTGCTAGCGAACTACTATCTCCGGCGGCACTGCTCACTTTCCAATGGTGATAGTGGCACTGTTCATCGTCTTCGCTTTCCGCCGGCGAACTACAGTTCGTCTTCCTCTTGGTGAAACAGAGCACCCCACAATGGCTATACTCCATCATTCCTACCGTCTCAGGCAACCATTTCACTGGTTTTGACTAGTTTCTCCGATCATCCATTGTTTATGATTCCCTCATTTTCCCCCCCTCTCTCTCTTTGATCGCCGTTGTAGTCATGGAGCTCTCTTCTTCACCTTATATGAATCTAGCGAAGAAGTAGCTTGTCACAATGATTTTTCCATTATTTTCCCATATATAAAACTAAACAATGGAAGTATAAATTTTTACACTTTCCCATCCCATATTTTTCCGTCCCACACAAATCTTCCCAC